CCGTCCCCTCCTCAGCCCCCCTCCCCACCCCCTACTTACCGGCACAAAGTCCAGGTCCAATTCCCTGCAGTGCTGAGTGGGAACTGCTCGAATCTCTCCGAATCTTTTCCAAATCAATTCAGAGAGCTTCAGCTCAATTTGGACCTTTCTGTTGGTCTCCTGATTCGATTCAGATTCAAAGAACTGGGCCAAATTGAAACAGCACTTGAAGCTTTGCACAGCCCTAGTAAAGACTAATGTGGCACACACTCAGAAATGGGGATATAGGTAAAGGGTGGGCAACCATATGAAAAGCCAGAGTAAAGGACACAAAAGGAGACAGGTATTCAGTCAACAACTGGATGGGGAAGAAAGGAAAAGCAAAGGGTAGGAGGCAGACATACTGTAGAGGCCCTTAAAACAAGAATGGAAAAACTTGAATTCGATTCAGAAAGCAGTAGGGAATGCCTGGAGGAATTTCTAGAAGGGCTGAATAGTGTTGGAGCAATGGATGCAGCAAGTATTTATTTTTGGTGCTGGATACTGTGCTTTTGCCTTCATCTCCTTTCAAGTTCTATAAGCCCAATTTAGCCAACGCCATTTAAGACCTTGAGGGCTGTGCAAGCCTAAGACCATAAAAGGGGCAAACTTGTCCAAAAGAAAAGCCTGTATATGCCACACGATCCACAGCTAATAGTGAATTTCACCTTAGAGGTAGCTTGTTATAGAATCATCTATAAAAAAGAAGCAGAAACTAAGCCAGAAGAGAAGTATGACGGAGCTCTGCAATGGGAACAAGATACCACCAGGGCTCGCAGGACCTCCTCACAGACTAGGAGGAGTAGGGTCATTATGTGGGAGAGAATTTGTGGAAACAAGCTTCATGTCCTTTTTTTTTTTTGTAGTGTGGGAAGGAGTTGGAGTCAGAACGTGTGCATTCAAAATCTAGTCCAGGTGCAAGATTAAGCAGGACTGAAGTTGCTGTGAGTATGGGTAAGCCAAAATGCAGGAACAGGTAGTGTTTGTGTGTGGCATGGCGAAATAGAGACCCATATTCACATGAAGTGTGTGGGAAGATAATGTTCCCGGAGCTGGAAATAATTTCTTTTAGACTCCAGAGTCTGTTCTGGCCACAAATAATACAGCCCACACAGGGGTAATGCAAGCTTCGCTAAAATTAAAACAGAACCTGAAAGGAGCCACTGTAGGCAAAAACCGTTTGTGTTCTGTGTTTAGCCAACCTTGGCAATATCAGCAGGGCTCCCAGCAAGGGCCCCAATCATACAGATTAAATAGTTATGAATGCAATAATCTATAGTATATGTACACACTAGTCTAACAAAGCCATTGTTATAAAGGGGTACCAAACCCATGTCCTGTTTCTCTTCCCTCTCCCCTCCACACTGATAATCAAATCCCTGCTTTCTTCTTACCATACTTTAAGGATTCTGAAGTTCCCTCGGTGTGGGGTGGTGAAAAGGTGCTAGCACCTTATAAGTACACGTTTCCCATGTGTCCACACTAGGACAGTATTCGTTACCTGTTTCCTTAAGTCCTGAGCCGATCTATGAAGAGTGTGGTTGTTAGCAGTAAGCCCTTTCGTAGAGGAGCCAGTGTTTGTAGTAGGGTGGTGATTAGCAGCAGCCTGTTCTTTACGGCTCTCAGCCTTATGTTCGCTGTTCCTCTCCTTCCCCGGTGTGGCCTCTTTGCTTTTGTGTTTATGAGCAGGTTCTTTCTCCTTCAATGATTTGCTGGATCCATTGAAAACTGGGAAGGGAGAAGGGAATGGACAGGAGACAGGGTTGGGGGCAAGAAGACAAAGTACATAAGAAACCATGGCCTTAATTTAAAAAGTAAAGAAGTAGAACTCCCACCTCCAAGAAAAATAAACTGTTGTGAGCATTAGCTATGTCATAGGTGCCTTATTACATATAATCAAAGCAGATATATCAATGGAATATTAGAGGGACTGTTTATAAAAAAACAGGTTTTCTGAAATGAGATACCAGCTTCAATATCAAATAGATGGAATTCAATACTGTCAATCAATGTCTGAGCCTGAATAGAGACTTATCAATTTCACTTTTGTTTCTAGTCAGTTTCTGATCAGCATTTTTGTTTTTTGGTGTCCTAAAAGCTTGGGATAATGAATACTAAAAAGGAGAATTATATTATACATGATTATATATAATTTTGACTTCAGAGCAATATAATTTATATATACACATGAAAATGCTTGAAGAGGATGCTGAATTTAATATGTTTTATTTTTAACAAAGCATATGCAAAAACATGCAAAAAAGCTAAATTGTTGCTCCAAATTGCCCCAAGTGTTGTTTCAGTGCTTGCTTCAAGCACGTGGCCTGCAAATGGGGAGGGGGGGAGATAAAAAAGAAGAAAAAGTACTAGACAAAAGAAAAATAATTCATAATTATGTACAGACTATCTGCAAGACATGAGGCCCAGCTCTGCATTTAGCTGAGAACCCCAAATCCTTACTGCAGTTATGAGAGAACTTGAAAGCAATGATTGTAAGCAAAAGTCCTGGGTCATGATCAAAATTAGCTAAATGTACACAAGTCTATCCCAGCAACTCCCAATCCATTTTCCCCACTGATTTCATCTAAGAATAACAACTGCTCTTCTCTTGCCAAGCAGCATGGAAAAAGAAGAGAACAAAATCAAAACAGATTTTTTCTTTTCCTAATTGCATCCCCCATCAAACAGTCCTTCGTGCTACCTCTCTCTCAATGCTACACTTGGCAAAACAGTCTTTAGAGTACATCATGCGACATCTAGCCCCATCACTGCCTCCCTCCCTCCATTCATTTTTTCCTTATGGAAAATATCCCATTAATTTGTTTTGTACCACAGCCCCTTTTTGCCACAAAAGGTCTGGGAAAGTTCATCATAATGAATACTCTCTTGTACAGCCACAAATATCTGCAAGTTGTAGATTTATCATGTGTATGTTATTTTACATACATGCGTACATACCATACAAAAACACAAAGTGATAACTGTTTGAAACTTGCTTAAGCAAGTTAAATAAAATGCCATATAAAATGGAAACTGAACTACATTATCAGCTCTTCAGGAAACGTAATGCACATTTACAATACTTTCCTTTATAAGTTTCAAATCTATCCTCCATGGAGACCCCAGCAGTGGCGGAGCCGTGACAGCGCAGGGCCAGCATTTCCATGGAAACCAGCCCCAGCAGTGGCTGGGCAGAGAGCTGCTCCAGGGCCAGGGCTGGGATCTTGCAGGTGACAGCGTGGTCCAGAGCCAGGGCAGAGCTGCTATCCACTGCCTGCACGTCTCTGCCCAGGGCATCGGGGCAGCTGCTCGCAGCTCTGCCCCAGCTCTGGATCATACTATTATTGCTGCAAGATCCCAGCCTCACAGCAGCTCCCCACCCAGCTGCATCCCCTGCCAGAGCTAAATCGGGCTGGTCTTCATGGAAAACCTGGCTCCACACCTCACAGCCCCACGCTGCTGGGATCTCCATGGAAACCGGCCACAGCAAAGCAGGCAGGGGCTGCTGGGAAATGGAGTCCCGCCCCTGGGCTCGGGTCACATGGGACCTGGTGAGTCGTGTGCAAGTGTGTGTCTCTGTTCACCCACACAGTTACAAGCTGCAGTGTTTTGGGATTGCCTGTGCAAGCACATGGTGCAGCCGATGGTCCCTGTCAATAATGCAGCCCTGGCTGCTTAGAAGTTGGACAGGTGTGATCTATACACTACTCTGTTAATTAATTAATTAAATCACCCTGGACAGAGGAAGTGCTTCTTCTATACTTCTCTGTTTTCCCCCTAAAACTATCTGATGAACGCAGCTGTCACTGTGATCATTTCTCCAGCTGTGCTGTGGTGGTAAAATTTGTGGAGATGATAAACAAATAAGTCTGCAGTTACCTGGATCTTCCACCACCTCCTCCCAGCTAGATCTCTCATTTCCTGGAGTACAAAATAAGTTACAGCTACTATTATGCCACAAAATATTGAAAGGATCCCATGCAGCTAAAATAATTATGTTGGCGATCGCAAGAGATAAGGTGAAATCCTGTCTAAGTTAACAGGAGCTCTGGCACTGCCTTTAAATGAGACCAGGACCCCACCCCTGCCTCAGTTTCTCAATACAGCTGAAAGGGATGATAACACTTCTCTATCACTTGGAGGTTTCAAGTTTATCCTTCTTTGCAAAGAGTGTTTGGCTCAGTTAACAAAACCTGGTTAACAATGAGCACAATGGGTTTTTTCCCCAAAGACAACTGGTTTATTTTTAATGAGAAATAACACATACAAATAATTAATTTCAACTGTCTTAATGCGCACTTTGTAACGGCAGGAAAGTTATATTTTTTCAATGGGGAAAAAACTGTAGTCACTGAATAAGCAGTTCTGCATGCACAGAAACGTTAAGTCAGAGAGATTAGTTTTCTGTAGCCAGTTGCCACTTTATAGCTGCAAATTACTAAAACAGAAAACATAGCCAAAAAGTCAAATTGGGTGCTTTTTATGGGTTTAAAAAAAAAAAAGAGAGAGAGAGAGAACAAGAGACAAGGTATATTTTGTACGCAACAGCTCATTAATTTTAAGTGTCGTGGGAACCCTGCCAGTTTTACCCTTCTGAGTAATTATCTTTTGTCTTAATTTGTAAGATTCTTGAAAGGGGGAGAGGAAAAAATAGGTAAAAGAAAAAAATATTCACTCACGCAGGAAAAGCTGAAACCCTGAAAAACACAATAGAAAAAAACTGAAAGACAGACAGAAAGGAAACTAGATGCAAAGTACTCCTAGTCAGACAGTCCTTAATTAAAACAATAATTGGTATCGGCTTCTTTAAAGATCCTTCTTCACTTCTTTAAATAATGCTTAGGGTTGGGATATCCTCTTCTATAAAACAGTGCCATAATAATGTGCTCAGATATGCCTCAAGTTGTTAGGTTTTATTACCACAGTGAACTAAGCATTCACAGTAATCTTTGATCCTGATTCTGGTTTCAGTGAAAATAAGAAGTAAATCATTTAAATTCATGCAGTTACACACCAGTAAACCACCATAAGTGAAATAAGATTCAGGCCTGAAGTGGTAATAAGGGCCAATGCATGGAATGATACAGTTTCACCAGGAATATTATGTTGCCGAAGAGTCATCAGCCATAGGAAAGATGCATCCAAGAAAACTCCAGGAAATATTCCTTGGATTAAACCTGATTTAAAACAAAACTACTAAATCCTGCACTGGGTTCATGTGCAGCAAGTTCCACTCCCCCTTTTTGCCTACCAGCATTTCACAGTTTAAACTGCAGCTCTGCTTTGAAACCCTAGGGAAGCAAAGATGTTGCACCTGAGGCTTTTCTAGAACAACCATCTCTCTCCATAGAGATTGAATGATGCAGTTACAGAGTCTGGTCTCCCAGAGATTCTTTTGCCTGCACACTAGACAAATTTTTGCTAGCAGTTATAAAGGTTGTTTCCCAATGGAAGGAATGGCAAAAAAGGGTTTCAGCCTCAAAGTCATTTTCTAAAAGCACAATTAAAGACGAATAAAACTTCTGGAGTCTTAAATAGCTGCACTTTCTTGCGCTGATGTAAGCATATGGTTCTGTATTTTTAACAGTGGTATCCATTATAGCTATGTGAAAAGGGGACTTGCGCTCAAGCAGAAATAAAGGCCTGACTAAGCTAATCATCAAGGCATCTACAACTTCATGCCAATAGCAGCCTGCTAAGGTAAGCCTTCCCTTCCTTTCACCCACATCCCCACCATGCCTCCAGTGGCAGGGCCAGACACAGGCATGGGTGAACTGGGCGGCCACCCAGGACCCGAACAGAAAGGGGGCCCGAAAATGGTAATTTAAAAATTGTCATCATCATCATCTCTGCCAAAGGGGTGGCGATACTAAAAGTTCGCCTGCTGTCACCAGGAGTCTAGGTACAGTGCATACCCTCACACAGTCAATGAGCTCACTATATCTCTGCTTCAGACAAGATGATTACAAACCAGTTCAACTATCTGTGAATATTTTATGCTCTGGACGCACTCCCACCCCTGGAGTTGTAATATTCTAACAGCTAATGGTGTGTGAGACAAAGGAAGCACAGCTTCCTGCTCCAGGCTAGCAGTTGTGACCAAATGTGCAAAGACAACTAAACGCTTCACTCCAGACTTGTCTACACAAGTCTCTCAGCCACAGCTACAGATGCACCAATGCAGACTCTCCGTGTAAGCAAAATTCACAGAGGAACAGCCTGATCGGTGCGAGGACAATTCACCCTAGTTCTATTCTCTTGCATCAGGGAAAAATATATTCTGACCAGAGGTAGCCACAGATTGGTTCTGATATACAGTCTTTTGGACAACTGCCATGAACAAATGCTACTGTCTGGTGTAAGCTGTGCAAAAATCGGGCGTGTGGAGTTTCTAGCCTTTGAAGTTGCTGCACTTGTAGCTAAGGCCTGAGTTGTGCTCATTACTACAAGTAACACAAAGTTTCCTAAAGGATTTGCCACTTTGCTTGGCCCTAAAAATCTGCTTTTTCAGCAATACAAATCAATGCACACCCCACAGATTTACTAAACCATAGATCTAGCTGTTTTATAACATGTATGGGGGTTACATCTGAAACATTTATAAGACTGAGCTGATTTACTAGTCATTTTTGCTCTACAGCTGGCTCCACTCATGAAACTTTCCCTACCAACACACCTGCTAGTCCCATGCTAGATTTGAATTGGGGATACTGAGGAGTGCACTGGGA